AAAATGAACCCGAAACTCCTAAAATTTCCGCAAAATTATGTTTTCCCGCCAACACAGGTAGGTGACTATGTGCATATTCTCCCACCTGTTCCATCAACTCTCTCCCGATCTCTCCTCACCAATGCCACCTTCTCCCGTGACAAGACCGAGGACACCGATGGTCCACATACACAAACTCTACACCGGGCTGGATTCAGCATCTGATCCCTTCACCATCTCGCGGCCCTGGGCAGTTGCATACTTGCCTTATTGCTACGTATGCCTTTACGTAGACTAATATCGCTACTATTAAGAGAATTGTCGTTGAGAGACTCCGACAACTCCTCAGCTGACAAGGTTCATCACCTCACAACCTCACCATCAGTCTCCTCACCACCAAGGATGCCGGCATGGTACTCCTGTTGCAGCTGAACGAGCCGATCTTTGATGCGCTGTATTCGAGTCGACCGGGCAGAGACGATTGGCGAGGTTTGCTTATCGGGAGAGAAGAGAGATGGGGACATTCTATTATACTTCCTAACTGCTATCTGGAGTATGGTAACTTCGCATGTTTAGGCTCGATGTACTTTTCCGATGACAATTATCACACTTTTTCAACCTCGTTTTCATCATTAAAAACTTCAATTTCGTCAGGCGAGCCGAGTTCGTGCGACAGGATACCCCATAGAAAATTCACTTGCCAAAGTGCGCTGTTTTGGGAGCTTCGATTTCGACCTAATGGTGTATACTATTTCAGATGTACTTCCCTCAGCTCGGTTGAACTGATCATCGGACATGATGAATGCGAACACGAGTCCACTGGAGTATGGTTGCAAAGCATAGTCCTACTTCTGTATCACATGCCATGTTCTACACTGCGATGGTTCCACTCTTAGGCGAGCGAATATTTATACAGATCTGTTGAGAAAAAAAGGACGAGGAATTGATGCTTCAAGTCTGATAATGACGGAAATTCACCTAAAATATTTTACGCCATATCCTCTACCGGGATTCGAACCTGGGTCAACCGCAATGAGAGTAAGAGGATTGACCATGACACTAAAGTTACTCTATAAACATTAATTTTGGCTCGACCCGCTAAACTCGGGAGATCTGATGGGCTCAGCTAGAGACCATACAGAT